TACATTCTTTTTTTTAAAAAAAACACATATTTTATTGATTTTTTACAGAGAGGAAGGGAGAGGGATAGAAAGTTGGAAACATCGATCAGCTGCCTCCTGCATACTCCCCACTGGGGATGTGCCCTCAACCAAGGTACATGCCCTTGACCGGAATCAAACCTGGGACCCTTGAGTCCGCAGGCTGATGCTCTATCCACTGAGACAAACTGATTAGGGCTTGTTTGTCTTATTTACCTGTCTACTCTTAGCACCTAGAACAGTGCCTGGAACAGAATAGATGCTTAATATTTAATACTTATTGAGCAAATGAAGGAATAAATTTAAGGAGAGTGAGGACGAAACAGGACTAATTTGGAGCAAGCTGGAGTGGCTAAAATGAAAAGAAAAGAGAAGATGAAGGTGAGCTATAAAGGTCGTTAGCATCTATATTCCTGAGAGCCTTGGATGAGGGCTAAAATTCAAACCTAATTCGTGGACAGAGAGTCACTAAAGATTTTTTTAGTAAATAAATGACTTGTGCTGTGAAAGTGACATGACCAAGTGACCTTGTACTACTATTAATAGGTGTCACAACCCTTCTCCTCTGCTCAAAATTCTCTCTAATGCCTTATTTCACTCAGAGGAAAAGCCAGTAAGTTCTCGCAAACTCCTTTATGGCCCTACATGGTTGATCTGACAGTGAACTGTGGCTTCCTTAGTATCTCTGCTCCAGCAATACTGGCCATTTTGATGCTCCTTGAAAATTCCCAGCCCTCTCCTCAAATTATTTAAAACTGTAACGTGCACCCCCAGCATTCCTATTCCTCTCCCCTGCTCATTTTTTTCTTCACACAACTTATCACCATCTGACATACCATAATTAAAAAAAAAAAAAGGCCTACCTCTCTCCCACTAGAAATGTGGCCTCCATGAAGTCATGAATTTTTATCTATATTCCTGAGAGCCTTGGATGAGGGCTAAAATTCAAACCTAATTCGTGGACAGAGAGTCACTAAAGATTTTTTTAGTAAATAAATGACTTGTGCTGTGAAAGTGACATGACCAAGTGACCTTGTACTACTATTAATAGGTGTGACGGGGCCACTTATTAAACAGGTGAGTGTTTTACACAATGTGCCTTGTGTGATTTCCCAATAGCCCTATGAGGTATGAGCAATTTTTCATCTCCATCTTATAGTTGAAGAAGTTGAGAGCCAGAGAGATGGAGTGACTTTCCCAAGGTCACACAGCTAGGAAATGACAGAACTCTGATTTGAACTCAATGCTGCCTAACAAAAGCAAGTTTCTGCATATCTAATACGTCTTAATTTCATCCAGCTCATGTCCTGCCTCCCCAAGCAGATGATGAGCTGCAGACAGGCAAGGGCTATATCCTATTGTTTGATATATTCACCT